ACCCCACCCCACCCGTAAATCCTGTTTAAATATTGATAGAGATTAGAAGCACCGCTGGCCGCTCAGTCAGATCTAAGAGGGTCAGGGGTGGCAGCCTTTCTCCGCAGGTTTCATTAAAGAAGCGCCGGTGTGGAAATGCAGAAACCCGTGATTCTCCGACGCTCCAACCTTTATTAATTATCCCCTTGCATGGATGCCCCACCCCACTCCGCATCGTAATGCATTCTGTTGCAGATGGAAGTTGGAAGGCGATGGGGTGTAAAATAGCATGTGTTTGAAGGCCTTTTTTTTATCTTTTCCTACGAGCGGCCCACCACCACCACCACCACCACCCCTCGCAGTGACATTCCCATTAACAGAGGAGCAGGGGATTGGATGTGCAAATGGTTCCCGTGGATTAGACAGTTAATGCATTTAGGGGAGGGGGATGCTCCACAATTTCTGGATTGCCACTGCTGGGGATGTTCCGTGCACGRAAGCCCATGGAAGGAAGATACCCTGTCCCTTTGTGGGAAGAGAGATTTTAAAGTAAAGTGAGTAGATAAGGGCAGAGATGCAACACACGCACACACAGATTAAGGATTGACTGAGGAGGCTCAGTGTGTGCTCTGTTATTAAACCCAGCATGGAAATGAGATCTTCCCAGAAAGAGGAGCAGACGGCAACCTTACTAATCTTATTAATCAGAATCGGGGCTTCTTCTTCTTTTTTTTTATTTTCCTGTTTCTGCCTCTCTCCTTTCAGGTCTCTTCTTCTCACACAAAGTATCTCTCCTTTGTGTCCATGTTTTGCCCTGATTTCTCTGAATCTGACACCCTCTGATCAAATTTGCCAAGTCATGTGTTTTGTAAAAGGTATTTATTTTTTTATTTTTTGTGGGGGGGGCGTCAGTGTTTTACATTGAGTATGTTGAGAAATGATGCAAAACTGTGTGTGAAATAAGAAAATGTCACACACAGACCACGTGTTCTGAGTGACTCTCAGCTACTACTGCAACACATTTTAGCTCAATGTAAAACTGACTGAGTTGTGCTGACAAATAAGCTGAGGTGTTCATTTTTTAATTTGCAGTGACTCCAAAAGGTTGTGGATGAACAACTGTTTTCTGGACGTTTACATTAAAATGTTTCCATTGGTTCTTGAAAAGTGTTGACCCCAACAGTTAATGTTAAAGTGTTAATAACGCACACTAAGATTTGAAGTATGTAATAAGAGGAACTTCAGCTAACACTCCTCATTTTAGCCCAGTGAATGTAAAACTGACTCAAATATAGACATTTTTGTGTTTTTTAAGTTCAGTAAGCTGTGGTAGTCATTTTAAACTGGGCTGGGTCTAAACATTAATCCGTTGTAGATTTACATCCAGTGACTATTTCCTGAAAGTGTCAATAAAATCAGCCCAGTGGTTCTTGAGAGATTTTGCTAACAGACAAAGAAGACTCTCAATGGTTAATAGCAATATATAAAACAAACCTCTTGCACTGCTTGTGCTCAACATATGCATTGTGGGGTTTGGTTGTGAACTACCACACAACATTTTAGCTTAATATCTGTATATTTGAGTGAGTTAAAAACAGTTGTATTTTTAAAGTTATCTTAAATGGGGTTGACTCTAAAAATGGAAAAGGTGATGAACACTCACTCATAACTTACAGTGAGTTTCTTTTAACACGCATGGCGATAAGTCTGCACCTTCACATGTATGAATGTGGTCTCTCTCAGGCAGGGGTGGGTAATAACTACCTGGGTTCGATTTTTGAGAAAATGTAGCTACTTTTAGGAGTATAAAACACAGTACTTTTTACTTTACTTGAGGTATATTGTTATGAAGTATCACCACTTTTACTTGTGTAGTAATATATTAGGGGTGCAACAATACTTGTACCCTTATCGAACAGTGCTTTAGGATCAATACACACTTGTATCGAACAATACAGAGTTTTAAAATTTACTTTATCAACTTGTCTTCTGAAGATGCTCTGTGTTGAAGGATCAGTGGATCTGTGTTCGAC